TGGAATACCTATAATCCTTATGTTGCTTTTCCTAATTGAGTTGGATAGTTCTCAAAAAATTTCTTCATTTGTAAAAAATATTAGTTCTCTCTCCTCTTCCACCTGAAGCAATTCTATATTTCTATCCTCTAATTCACTAATTCTGTCCCCATAATGTCAGATCTATTTTTTATGGATTCCAGATTATTTTTTATTTCATTTATTGTGTTCTTCATATCCAGAATTTCTGTTCGGTTCTTTTTTAGAGTTTCAGTGTCTTTGGTGAAGTATTCCTTCTGCTCATTAATTTTATTCCTGAGCTCATTGAACTGTCTTTCTGAGTTTTCTTGTAACTCGTTGAGTTTCTTTATGATAATTATTTTGAATTCTCTGTCATTTAGATTGTAAATTTCTGTGAGTTCAGGATTGGTTTCTGGAGACTTGTCATTTTCCTTCTGCTCTGAAGTGTTACTGTAGTTCTTCATGGTGTTTGATCAAGTGATCCTTTGCTGGCACATAGTGGTAGTATTGGGTTGCAGATTCCACCTGCCACCATGGGGGTGGAGACAGGAGTTGTGTTTTCTGATCCTTCCCCGTCTACTGGAAGTAGTGCTGGTAGGGCTTCTCTGTGTTTGCGTGCTGGCTACAGCCGCTTGGCAGGTCATGCACTCACGTGCAGGTGGGACCTCTGTGCTCCATCAGCAGGTTGGTCTGGTGGGGAGCCACTTTGCTTGGCAGTGGACTGACAAAGCTGGTGTGCTAGGTGGTAGGGGAGGGCACTTTCTTTCACATGCATTCTGTTCTGCCCTCATGGGCGGCTCAGCTGAGCTGCTGCGTTTGGTGGGGGCTCCTTCGTGGGGGCTGGGTCACACCACTTGGTAAAGAGCATTCCCATGGGCAGGACTGCTGTGGCACACTGGGCACTCCTGCAGGCCGGGCTGCAACTCTGAAAGCATTCGTGTGGGCCAGGCTGCCCCTGCCTCCTCTTACAGTCATGCTGGCCACTGTGTGAGGACCTGTGACCTAGATTGCTGCCCCTGGGGATGGGGAGGGGTACGCTCACCTCATTCCACTGCCTCCTGGGGATCCAGTTACCCCCTGTTCAGATGCAGGTTGCGTGGATCTCTCAGACGTCCTGTTGTGCTGTGCAGGGAATCCTCTGCTGGTTAATGAATGTCCATTTCATTGTAACTTAATGGTGAGAGAGTAAGGGAACAACTCACTCCACCATGATGCTGACGTCACTCCTGGCCCCATCTTCTTGGTCAATTAGTGCAAAGTACAATCCCAGCTCTTCTCAGCCAGTCAGCAGCATGCACAATCTAGCCCTCCTCAGCCAATCAGATTAAGATGTGACTGCTGTTCTCAGCCAATTAGAGCAAGGCACCACCCAGCTCTTTGCACTCAATCAGCGCAGGATGTGGCCTATCCCACATTAGGGGCTTCTAAGGTCTGGGCCAGAGAGGGAAGCTGGGTGGGCAGGGCGCAGAGGGTGCTGGAGGGTGCAAAGGTTACCTAAGGGGTGCAGAGAGTGATAGGGCAGCACAAAGAGAAGCGAGGTGGTCTGGGTGCAGAGGGTACCTGAGGGGCTCAGAGGGTGGGGTGGCACAAAGGGTGTGGGGGGGTGCCTGTGAAAAGGCTGCCCTCTGGTGCCCTGGGCCTTCTCTGTGCAGGGAGAAGGGAGTCACCCCTGCCTCCCTGACAGGCCGTCTGTGCCTGAGGCTCTGCTCCCTTGGTCTGTCCACCCACAGACCTTTGTGACCCCAGCTAGAATGGGAGTGGGGGGTATTAATGTGTACTTTCTTTTCCTGAAATTAAGTCTTTGGCATTCTCAGTGCCACAACTTCTGTCCCCTCTGTAAAATGGGGTGGCAGTTGGCACTGGGCTTTATTTCTAACAGCTTTACTGAGATTTAATTCACAGACCATACGGTTGTGAAATTAATACAGTCACGTGTCCTCAATGACTGGGATACGTTCTGAGAAATGAGCAGATTTTGTCGTGGTGTGAACATCATAGAGTGCACTTACACAAAGCTAGGTGGTAGAGCCTACTGCACACCTAGGCTCTAGGACACCAATCTTATGGGACCACCATTGTATATGCAGTCTGATGTTGACCCAAGTGTTGTTATGTGGTGCCTGACTGTATGTAAAGGAAAGCTTGGCTGAATTAAAGTCAGGAAGGCCTGCAGGGGGAGGTCTCACCCCATCACACATCATCAATTACACCAAACAGGAAGAGACTAAGACTTGCATCTTTGACAGGAAGTACAACTACTTTACTACTGAAGGAAGACTTCTCTCCCTGCCCAGCAACAGCCCAGCCAATCAGAAATGCTGCAGCTCAGCCAATCAGAAATGCCCCAGCTCAGCCAATGAGAGGCCGTTGCCACCCTGATCTGTTTGTCTCCCCCAGTGGGCTTTCCTTTAGAGCAGCCCCTGCCTCTCCCCCTTTTTCTCCCTCCTTTGTTCCCGGGGCCTGCCTGTGGTTTGCCATAGCAGGCACATCCCGAATGGCAATTCTTTTGGTTATTCCCGAATGACCTCATTTTGAGAAATAACAGGTGAATCTGTTTTCTTAAGCTGACCAGGGCATGCACTTGCCGACACTGCCCTCCAGGGAGCTGAGGCCAGCAGGACGTGATGGAGGCCCTGGTAGCCGGGCCCTGTGCTGGACACTGCAGGGGAGGGGACAGGAGGCTCTAATTGACCCAGCATGCTGCCCTGGGCCTGGGGTGTCAGTTGCACCCATGCACAAGGCAGGCCAGAGAGGGCTGCAGTTGCTGTCGAGATCTCGGTTTTTAGCAGCCCTGCAGGTCAAGGAGACTTCATTCCTTCACTCCCTCGTTCATTCACAATATTAACCAAGCCCCTTCCTCGTGCCAGGCCCTCTGTTAGGGGCTGGGGAAACAAGTGAACCGGCTGCATCCAGCTCATGCTGTCACGGAGTATACAGTGTGCAGGGAGAGTAGACAGTAAATAAACACAGGAGAAGACACGGCTTATGCTTAATACCGCGAGAAAACAGACTAGGGTTTGGGCAAGGCTGCCCAGAGGAGACAGAGACGAGGTGGGGCCGAGGGAGCAGGACGCTCTGGGTGTGGGGGCTGGAGGGGGCCAGAGTGCCCCTGGGCAGGAGGGCATAAGTAAGAGGCCTGGGGCGGAGCTGACCGCTGGGGTGCCGGGCGAGGTGTAGGGGTGGTACTGAGTCTGGGTTTTATGTTAGGAACTATGATGACTCAGGGGGATTTTAAGCAGGGATGTATCAGATTTATGCTTTATAAGGTTCACTCGGGACACTGTGTGGAGAGTGGACTTTTGGGGGATGAGAGGGGCGTGGGAAGGCCGGGAGATGACCAGGCCGCATCAAAGACTCCTGGTGGAGAGTCCCCAAACCAAGGCCAGGGGCCTGCTGGTGGTGGGTGTGTTCTCGGCAGTAGGGCAGCTGCCCCTCACCTCTGAGGCTCAGTGCTTGCTGAGGGTCCTCAGGGGGTCTGCAGACCATCAGTGTCTGTCCTCTGGTCCTTGCTGACCCAAGGAAGGACTGAGGCCTCGCTCTCACCCAGTGGTCCTGTTGTGGGAGGTCCAGCATCTGTCCTGGCCGCCCCCTTCCCTGGAGCTCTGGGGACTTCACACCCCTTCAGGCTTCCCTGCCCTTCAACCCAAGAGGCAGCATTTAGGGGAAGAGTTTATATATATATTTGTAGCTTATATAATTGCCTTTAAAAAATGGAGGTGTAGTTTACACACAGCAAATAGCCATGGAACCACCACAATCCATCACCCCAAAAGTCTCTGCATGCCCCTTTGTTGTCAGCTGCTCTCTCACACAGGCCCTGACGACCACAGAGCGGCTTTCTGTCCCTATGGACTTGCTATTCTAGAATGTCATAGAAAAGGAATCACAGTCTGTCGCCTTTTACACAGGCTTCTCTCACTCATTGAGACGCGTCTGGGATCATCCAGGTTGTTGCGAGAATCTGTGGTTTGTTCCCTGTATCCCTGACGAGTGTCCCATCGCGGGGAGGCCCAGCGCTGTGTTCACCCTTTCACCCGCTGAAGGGCACTGGTTGTTCCACGCCAGAGTGACTGCGAATCAAGGCCCATAAACATCCACGTGCAGGCCTCTGTGCTTTCACTTCTCTTGGGTGACTACCTGGGTGTGCGGTTGTCGAATCGTGCGGTGAATGAATGTCCCACTTCTCAGGAATCTGCCACACTGCCTCCCAGAGTGTTGCCCCATTTTGCCTCCCCCCACCCAGCAGTGATGGTATTTATTTTAAAAAAGTTTGCCGTCCTGATAGATGTGTAGTCTCGTCGCAAGTGGTTTCAGTTTGCATCTCCCCATGACTAACGGCGTTGAGCATCTTTCCGCGTGTTTATTTCCCATCTGGAGATCTTCTTTGGTGAAATGACTTTTCGAATCCACCAGTTTTTCTTTTTCTTTTTTTTGTGAGTTGTTTGTTTTTTCACTATTGAGTCTTGAGAGTTCTTTATAGATTCAGGATTTAAGTCCTTTATCAGATAGATATGTGTTTTGTAAATATTTTCATGGGAAGGCTCTCACTGCTTTCTATCCAGTGACTCTGGGACCTGAGTGAGAGCTGGCGCCTCCCCAAACCCACAGGAGGCGGCAAGCAGAAGCCTCGGCTCCCCCTACTCCCTCCCCGCTGGGGGCTGAGGGTCTTTCTCCGACCCTGTACCCCCTTCCACTCCAGAGTACCAGTAGTGCTGGCCTCCCTGGGGACCCCTGCCCCTGACCGAGGCCACATACTGATCCTCAAATAGCGTCCCTGGGCGTCTGCCTGCGTGGACACAAGAGGTCACCTGGAGAGGCCTTGCCAGCTCGAGCCCCCACCAGCCCACGGCGCCTTGCCGGCGGCACTCCTGCCTGCATGGTTATGCAACCGGTGATAAGGTGGCTTCAATACCATAATCCACCCTGAAAGTCAGGTGAGAGCCTGGCTCTCTGGAGCCCTTCAGGAAATGACCCTTGGAGCCGGTGGGGACACTGGAGTGACTGTGCCAGACAATGGACAAAGGGGCTGGAGTTTCTGGAGCCAAAGTGCCTTCCGCTCCCCCACGTGCTCCTCCGGTGAGCCCAGCTGGTGGGCTGGGCTATAAAGCCGGGCCTGCTGGGGCTCAGACTCGGGCGCCAGGGGCCGGAGGACAGACATGAGGATGAAGTCCGTCCTGTGGGGCTGGGTCCTGGCACTGCTCTGGGTGTCCGCAGCTCAGGCTGAGGTCCTGGTGCAGCCAGATTTTGATGCCAAAAAGGTACTGGAGGCCTCCGTGCTGTGCCATGGGTGGGGGTGGGGGCTGAGCCCTGCTGGAAACAATAGTGATGACTGGATAATAGTAACTGCACCTTCCGTGGGGCACGTGCTTTGGGCCCGCAAGCCCTTTAGGTTCCCTGTCCAGTTAACCCTGAAACAACCCTGCGTATGGGTCATTACTGACCCATTTCACAGTGGGGCAACTGAGGCTCACTGTGGCCATGCGGCCTGCTCCAGGCAAGTGGCAGAACAGGCCCAGACCCAAGAGATGGACACTCCGGAGACCCCTGGCTGTGTGGCTTCAGATAAGCCTGTTGCTTTGTGCCCCTGGGTCCCAGGGCAGGAAGGGTCTGGCCTGCTGGTCACTGAGCCCCTCACAGTTCTCAGGCCTCTGGTACGTGGTGTCCATGGTCTCCGACTGCAAGGTCTTCCTGGGCAAGAAGGACCACTTGCTGATGTCCACCAGTACTGTCAAGGCTGTGGCAGAGGGCAACCTCAGCGTCCACATGGAGTTCCCTCGGTGAGGCCGAGGGGTGGCTGGGCAGGGGCGGGTGGGCCGGGCAGCGCGGAGAGTGAGCACCAGGCTCTGCACCCCCAGGGCTGACGGCTGTAACCAGGTGGATGCTGAGTACCTGAAAGTGGGCTCTGAGGGGCACTTCCGAGTCCCGGGTAGGTCCTGCCCCCTGCCTTCAGGGGTGCCTGGCGTTGCTCTTCTGCGGGGTGACCTGGGCCTGTCTCTCTACCCTGGACTCCTCCAAGTCGCCATCTCCTGCCCCTCCCCTCCGCCCCTCCCCCTCCGCCCCTCCTTTGGCCCAGCAGCAGAGGCCATGTGGGTGGGGGTTGGTGCCTGGGCTCCGGACACTTCCCCATGGCTGTCGGGCCGCCTCCTCCGCAGCCTTGGGCTACCTGGATGTGCGCATCGTGGACACGGACTACAGCTCCTTCGCCGTGGTCTACATCTACAAGGAGCTGGAGGGGGCGCTCAGCACCATGGTGCAGCTCTACAGTGAGGCCCCCCCAATGCCTCCCATCCCCACTGGACCCCCCACCTCACCCCTCCCCTCCCTATCCCCTCTGGTCTCACCCTTTCAGACCTGCCCCATCTCCTCTCCGGCCCCACCTCCTCACACACTCCCAAGTCTGGGCCCGGCAAGGACCAGGTGGGGGTGGGGGTGGCGGGACCCCACAATGCTTTGGATGGGTGGGGGTTGACTGGAGGGGCCTCTGACGGCCAGGCACTCAGGCTGAAGCTCATGCCCCTCTCTGGCCTCCTGAGGGTGGGGACCCACCCTCCCTTTCTCGGCCCCACCGCCTGAGACCCTGAGCCAGAGCTGAGATCCTATCTTGCTTTAATTTCCTGGGGGCTCGGCAGAGTGAACCAGGGGCTCCCCAAGGTGGAGAGGCTGGGGCGAGGGCCGGGGCTGGCTTTGGGACCTGCAGGTAAAGACGCCTGAGGAGGATGGGGCTTGGGGAACATGGCCTGGGAGAATAGCCAGGCCACCCCAACATCGCGGATGCCCTTGTGTGAATTAGGAAAGGGTGCCCCTCTGGCGGCTTCCAGTCCCCACTGGTCCCTCAGCCAGCCAGGCACTTTCGTGCAGTGTACAACCTGCCCAACCTCTGGTGGCAGACCTGCTGTCAGCCCTCAAGGAAGTGCAGTGAGGCCAGGGGACCACCATCACCCCTTCTCCCTCACCTCTGTGAGCCACAGGGTTCACATGGGCCCCTGCTCTGCCCCAGGCCGGACCCAGGAAGCGAGCCCCCAGGCTGTGAAGGCCTTCCGGGACTTCTACCCCACCGTGGGGCTTCCCGATGACATGATGGTTATGCTGCCCGAGTCAGGTACCCAGGACAAGCCCCACCCCCACCGAGCCCCGCCCCCGACGAGCCCCGCCCTCCGTGGAGCCCCGCGCCCTCCCTCCCCCAGTACCCCCTGAGGGAGAGGTTTTGGGAGGTCCTGGAGGAGGGAGAATCTTGGCCCCACCCTCCGGGGGTGGAGGGGCTGTCCCAAGGTCCACAGCGCCCAGGGGTTGGGGGCTGCAGGAAGCCGTGGGCAGGCCCGGCCAGCTCAGCCTCTCGCGGACCGTCCTTCTTCCCACAGATGTGTGCTCCTCGGGGGGCAAGGAGGCACCCTGACACTCCGGAGACCCTCCTTGGCCCTTCCCAGGTGGGGACAGCTCCCTCCTCCCTCCCGTTCTCAGGCCCGCGTGCGCTGCCCCTGGCCCCTCTCCGCCTCCTTCTCACCAGCCTCTTGCTCTCCCCGCTGAGAGGGAGATTCCACCGCAGATCCCCGCTGCAGATCCCACCGCACCCCACCCCGTTGCTCTGCCTGGTCACTCGCTTGTGCGTCTCAGGCCCCGGCTTACACAGCACCTCTTCCAGGAAGCGGTCCCTGATTTCCTAGGGCTGCCATAACAAATTACCACAAACTGGGTAGCTGAAAACAACAGAAGTGTGCTCCCTCCATGGTTCTGGAGGCCAGAGGCCCAGAAGCAAGGTGTAGGCGGGGTGAGCCCTTCTGGAGACTCCGGGAGGGAGTCCTGCTGTTCCAGCTTCTGGTGGTGCCCGCAGTCCCTGGCGTTCTTTGGCTGGTAGACGCTTGCTCCCGTCTCTGCCTCTGTTGTCACAGGGCCGTCTTCCCTCTGTGTGTCTGTTTCCAGATTTCCCTCCTCTTCTCAGGACACCAGTCATCGGACATAGGGCCCACCCTGAATCCAGTCTGACCTCATCTCAGATCCTTAGCTAATTACATCTGCCAAGACCCTATTTCCAAATAAGGTCACATTCAGAGTTCCAGATGGACTTGAATTTGTGGGGGACACTATCCAACCCAGTACAGTAGGTCCCCGTAGCCCCTGGCTCACCCCTGGGCCCTGGGCCCTGCCTTGGAATTGCCTGATCCTCATCCTCTCCCTGAGGGTCCCGTGAGGTGGGAACCACCACCTTCTTGTTCATTGCCATCACAGGGCTAGGTCCCTGGGAGGCCTGGGCTCTTGGGGACACCTTCCCCCAAAGTAGACACCAAGAAACCATCGGGCCCCTTACCCAGGTTCCTCTTGAAGAATTTGGGAGCTTACATAAAATGATAAATAACAGATACAAGATGACAGTCAGCAGCGCGGGGAGGCGACCCTGTGGCCCTTCCTGGCAGGGACAGGCGTTTGCACAGTGGGGCCTCCTCACTACCCTGCAGTTGGTGCTCCTCATCCCTCACGTCATCCTGCCCCCCCTGGCTGTTCCCGCTCTTTGCCCAGTGGTGCGCTGGGTGCATTTTAACTCTTCGTGGGTCTAAGTCACGCTGCCCAGCACCCTGCACTGTCTCCCGTCACATGCGTGGTTGTTTCATAAAATCACCGGGTGGGAGGAGAGGGGGTGGCAAATCTTGCCAAATCACCCTCTGGAAGGTTCTATCAGCAGAGTGTGTGAGCCCCATCTTCCGGTTCTGTACCCCACCCCCAGGATTTACTAAAAAGACAAAGCAGCTTTTGGGGTAAAGTGCCCACGTGGCCACCTCTTGGGGGCTGAGTCTGTGTGCTTTTTCGTGGTTTAGCGGCCATTCTGGGGCTTTCTTGCCATGCCAGCCCCCTCACCGCCAGCCAGTGAGCGAGCGAGGCTCTGGGACCCCGGGGAAGGGGGCAGCGCTAGTGCCGGCCACCTCTAGCCTGGGCCCTCAGGGGAGCAGCGGTGGGTGTGTGCTTCCACATTTGCAGGTTTTGGTGGCAGAATTAGCCCGTACTGGCCTCGTGGGCAATGTGAACGGGGGGTGGAGTGGGGGGGTTGGGGAGCACCCTGCTGTTTGTGGGGGCAGCTAGGGGCGTCCAGGGAGTGTCTGCTGAGCGCGTGGGCAGATGGAGTGACCACGCCTTTCCTGTCTGTGCAGGACGAGCGGAAGCAGCGGGCCTCGTCACCCCGTGTCGTCCAGACCCATGGCCCTCCCGACCCCCACGCCTTGGGCTACACCGCCTCCCACCCCCGTCCTCCCTGGGGTCCACCTGGGCCTGTCCCTTCTACTCAATAAATGCATTCTGCAGCCGAAAGCTCCTCCTGTTTGGGGAGGCCCTCTGGGAGGGCACAGTGGGCCCTGTCTTGGCCCTGGACTCCTGGGGAGACTGAGGCAGGGAGGCGGGTGTGGAGGGGACTCTGGCCGTTGGGCTCCTCCTGGCTGAGGGGGCAGGAAGCTCCAGCCAAGCTTGGCACCTGTGGGGGCTGCACCCAAGGGCAGCATCCAGTGCCCACTGGCCCGGCCCCCATGGGTTCTCAGCACCTGTGGGGAAACCGAGGTGCCTGGTGGAGACTGGCCCTGCTGCTGGGGCTCCGCTGTGTGCTCAGCCCCCAGCCGCAGGGACTGGAACAGAACAGCCTAGGGCTGGGGAGGGGGGCTGCTGGGGTTTTCCCTCCCACCTCTGATGTGACCTTGACCTTGGGCCAGGCTGCAGGGCCTGGGATCTGTGCTGACCCTTGTTGAGATGTGGAGGGTCAGGGGAGCCCTCCCTCGGGGCCCGCTGCCATTCTCATCTCTGATCTCTGTCAGGTGGTCCTCCCACTAGGAGCTCTGAGCGTCCAGGTTACGTCCGGCGCACACACTTCAAAGGGCCAGGCGTCGGGGGCAGGAAGGCGTTAGAAGTCCTGCTTCATTGCTCATGGGCGCCCTGTAGCCCTTGAGGGGCTGGATCCGGAAGCAGTCAGCCCTGAGGGGCATCTATCCTCATCCCTGCCCCCCACCCCTACCCCCATCAACCAGAGACAGCGAGTGTCCACTGCACTTCCTGTCCTCCCTCTCCTGCCTGTCCCTGGGGGACTTTGGTTCATCAGCCTGGGGCCGGGGTCAGCCCAGTTTTAGAGTCAGCCTGGGGCCGGGGTCAGCCTGGGGCTGGGGTCAGCCCAGTTCTAGAGTCAGCCTGGGGCCAGGGTCTGCCAGTCCTCAGTCTCCTCGGTCCCCCTGCTGCCCTGCTCTTTGGAAGGTCCCCCTCAGTCTCCGGTGTGCCGGCCAGCTCTTGGCTGCCCTCTCCTAGTTTGACCCCTCACACCTGCCTGACCCTTCCCATTTGCCTGATTCCAACCCTATTTTGTCAGAGGGCAGTGCTGTCTTCAGGATCCAGGATGTCCAGTGCCCCTGGTGAGCAGGACCTCCCCTTTAGCTGACCATGCCTGGAGCCACGCCAGGGTGGGCTTTTCTGGCCCAAAGGTGCTGATCTGGGCAGGAGTTGCTTTGCGCACCCTTGGAACCCTCTTGGCCACATGACGCCAGTCCCTCTGCTTCGTCATCGTTACAGATGGGGAAACTGAGGCGGGGCAGCTTTCTCTGGGTCACAGGGCTGGAGGGGTCAGAACTGGTGCTCAGGAGGCCCGACTCCGTGTTCACCTCGACACGCTCCTCGTCTGGTCCTGGTCTGGGATAGAATGCGTTGGTGGTGGTAGGGGTCCAGGGCAGGATGGGGAAGAGGTGGGCCCTGGCGTCTCACAGCCTAGGTTCAAACCTGCTGTGGTGGCTGCTCAAGCCCGGCCTCCGTCTCCCAGGCTGGCCCCTCTCACCAGGCCCCTGTGCCTTTCACCTGCTGCTCCTTCTGTGGGGAATGTCCTTTCCCACCCAAGCTTCGCCTCCTCCATGGAGACCTCCCCAGGGAGAGGAAGCCCCCATTCATCTCCCCCACCTGGTGGCGGGACCCCCACTCGGCTCTGTGCAGCCTAGCTGGTGCCATCGCAGACCCTCAGAGTGTTTGCTTGAGGATATCCACCCCATCAGCCCCTACGTGGGCTGGAGATGTGGTCTCGTGCTGCCCCAGAGGCTGTGGGGGCCTCCTGCTGCTCTCAGGCCCCCAGGCAGACCCCGCTGCAGGGTCCACCGTCATCCCCAGACCGGGAAGGGGGTGGCACTGGCTGCTCTAGTCCAGGCCAACCCCCCCCACCCCCCGGGGCTGTGGGTGTCACGGGGCCTGGATGGCGCTTGTGCAGAACCGGGTTCCTCTGAGCAGCCCCCGGCCAAGTCTGCCTGACGATGTTCTCAGGTGATTGCGCAACACCTGGCTCTCCCTCCCTACATAACGCAGGAGCTGCGGGAGCAGTGAGCGTGGACCACAATGGAGGCCGGCCTGCTGAGTGCCGTCCTGGGCCTCGTCATGGTGCAGGTGGAGACGGCCGGGCAGGACCTGGACCTGCAGAAGGTGGCTCTTCTTTCTTGGCTTGGGGAGGCTGGGTGGGGAGCGGCCCGAGTGTCCAGCTACTCCTGTTCCCTGTCCCTCCCACCCCTGCTGATGCCGGAGCAGCTACCTCGGGGGCCCCAGGACCCGGCCAGGTCAGCCCCCACAGGGCAGGCGGCTGAGAGTCTGCGCTCAGCCCTGCCTGGTCTCGCCTCTCCTCGAGCGTGGGTGTGAGAGTGAGCACCCAGGGACGTGCAGGGGCAGAGCCCTCCCCCAGGGTCTCCTGTGGGCAGGCCTGTGTCCTCAGCCAGGCCAGCTGGTCCTCCGGGGTCTCCAGGGTCTGGCGGCTCGGTGTGGCCACCTCCTGCTTCCAGGATGGTGGGGTCCCTCCTGCACCCTCTGGCCCGCACGCTGTGGGAACCAGAAGCGGCCTTTCCCCGTAGAGAGTTGGGCTGGGGCTTTGGTTCCCATCTAGATGCTTCTTTGAGTTGCTTCTTCTCCGGGTCTGTGTTGGCTGCCTGGCCAGGAGCACATCAGCAGGCTCAGAGATGACAGATACTGGGGACAGAGATTCTTTTCTCTTGCAAAAATGATGGGTTTCTGAAAGTTTCAGATGGAAGTTCTGGGCTCTGGGTGGATTTCTGAAGGCAGGAGCCCCCTACCCCAGTGTGGTTGGGCAGAGCTGTGCCTCTCCCACGAGGGACAGCGCTGCTGGCTGCTGATGCCCCCCGCCCTCACATCTGGCTGGTCCTCTCCAGCCCCTCTCTCAGGCGCTGACCACCACTGGCCCGTGGCGTCCTGTCCTCAAGGACAGGCAGCAGCAGAGGCTGGTTCTCCTGGGGGACTGGCTCTGCCGCAGCTGCAGACAGGCCTGGGTGGGGAGGGGCTCGCCCCATGGGGCATCACTGTCCAATGGCCTGAAGTGACCCCTCAGAAGGACAACAGTTTGCTGCTTTGCCACCAAGCCTTGCGGCCATCCACTGACCTTTCAGAGCCTGCCAGCTCCCTGCGCGGGGGTCCTGGGTGTCTTCCTCCTGGAGCCCAGGGACAGGGTCTCCGTCCAGCTGCCCGAGATGCGCTGGGCTCCGGCTTCTCTCCTCAGATTGCAGGATTCTGGCGGGAAGTCGGTGTGGCTTCCAACCAAAACCTGGCGCTGAAGACGCCAAAGAGGCTGGAGGCCTTGTTCCTGACCTTCAGCGGAGCCGAGCTGACCGTGAAGGCCGCGTATAACAGGTAAGGGCCAGGGGTTCCGGGAGCACGGGTGGGACCAGGTACATGTGGCCAGGTGCTGGGAGCAGCTGGCAGTGCCGACTGCAGCTGTGGGATCTGGATGGTGTCGTCACTGTGGTGGACGAGCTTGCCTGTGTCCACTGCCCAGGACCTTGACCCCCAGGCCCCTGGAGCTGCTGGGTGTAGGTCTTCTCGCAAATGTAAGCATAGTTTTGATAAAGCTCGTCAATTTATAAGGAAGGAAAATGGGCTTAGGGGCAGGTGGCTCTCTGGAGGTCACAGGGCCTATGGGGGAGAGGCTGGCACGACCGCCGCCCTGCACTCCCGCCCTCCTCACCTGCCCCGGGTTCTCCTGGGGACGGACACACTGCTGGAGCCCTTCCTGAAGACACGCTCTCCTTCCCCCACCCCTGGGAATGTGCCTGGCGTTCTCCTAATGAGCACTTTGCTGCCTTTCAGCTCAGGAAGTTGTGAGACAGAAAAAATAGTAGGCTTAGGAATCGACATTTCGGGGAAATTCGTTTTTCCTGGTAAGAACTCTTGCCCCATTGCTGCAGTTACAACCCCGCTCTGCACACCTGGCCTTGCTGTTCCCTGCGCTGTTCCCTGTGCTCCTCTCCACACCCCAGACTCCCCCATCTTCTCACCAACAAACCGGGTCATCCTTCAAGGGCTGCTCTGGTCCCCCCCACACCCTCTGGCAGTATGAGAGGGTCCAGGCACTGGGCGGAGAGAGGATGGAAGCAGACCTTGCAGACCCCTGCCTCTGAGGCCCGCCAACCCCGAGGGGTGCTGGTGTGCACATGGTCTCTGCCCTCCCTCTTGCTCCCCAGGCCACAGGGAGATCCGCGTGGTGGACACGGACTACGAGCGCTACGCCATCCTGCGGGTGTCCCTCCTCTGGCAGGACAAGGACTTCCATGTGCTCAAGTACTTCAGTAAGCTCCTCTGGGGTGGGGGGGCTGTGCCTGGCTGCGGCCCTCAGGGGACCACCCGGCCCAGCCCCTGTGCTCCTCCCCACAGCTCGGAGCCTCGAGGATGAGTTTGAACCAGGCTTCTGGAGGTTCCGGGAGATGACGGCAGACACGGGGCTTTACCTTGTGGCCCGGCATGGTGAGCCGCAGGCCTTCGGGGTGGGCGCTGGGCTGGGTGGGGGCGGGGGTGTTCCGGGCGCCCACCTGCGGCACCTTACACTGTCCCTGTCCCGCAGGGAGGTGTGCCAAGCTCCTGAAGGAGGTGAGCCTTTGCCCTGGTCTGCGCTGAGCCCCCCGGCTGAGTGCCCCTGGCCTGATGGGAGCCCCCGCTGGCTCTAGGTCCTGGGCCTCCAGGGTCGTGACTCCAGGCTGCTGGGTGGGGACCTGGAGGCTGGGGGCGCCAGGGCAGGGCTGGGTGGGGGAGGGGAGGAGCTGGGTCCTGGTCCCACCTTTCCATCCAGGAGGGCGTGGGGGGCTGCCTGCGGCCGGCTCTGCCCGCTCAGGTCCCGCTCGGTTGGGGCACAGGTCCTGTGAGCACTGTCTAGGGCTCCCCGCGTCCCATACCGTGTTAACCTGTCACTTTCGTGACCTCCTCTGTCTTGACACAGCCCGAGACGTTGGGACTCTTGCCCCACTTTGCAGATAGAGAAACTGAGGCCCCGGGGGCCATGTGCTTTGCTCAAAGCCACAATCCTAGGACCCCACCGTGGCCTAACCGCTGTCCCCCGGGGCCTTCACAAGCTGGGCAGCCCCCTGAGCCATGCCCTCTGTGTCGCAGGAGCTGATCTAGAGGGGCCCCCGCCCCCAGGCCCGGATGCTGGAGCCCCCGCACCCGCCTCTCCAGCCGCCCTGCCCCAGGGCCGCCTGCACCCGCTCCAATAAACCCACTGCCAAACCCGCTGCCCCGCCTGTCCTTCCTGGGAGGTGAGGGGTGACAGGTGGGGGTGGCGGGGTCAACGAAGGTGGGACTTGGGGCAGGTCAGTGCTGATTCCACGTCCCCGGATCCTGCCCTGTGGACCTCTCTGCAGTCACAGCAAGAGGGGTCCTTCCATCATCCGGAGAGTCCCTGTGTTCTCTCAGGTGACCAAATAAACCCCACGAACAACCCACGGCCCCGAGTGTCTTTCCAGCGGGGCAGGGCTGAGTGGTGACAGCTGGGGGCAGTGTGTTGTGCTTCCCGTGACTGCCCTAAAAATGATAGCAAAACTGACTCTGTGGTGGTCTGTGCTTACTGTGACCATCGCTGGCGAATGTGAACCATGTCAGATCCCACTCCTGGCTGGACCTCCATCCTCAGAGTGCTGAGTCGTGGGGACACCACAGGCCAGGCCGGCTCCCTCTCTGTTCCCTGCTCCCTTCCCCGTGGGGTCCAGGGAACATGTGGCTCAGATGCAGGACGACAGCCCGCTGCCCTCTCCCCTCCCTCCTGCCCCAAGGGTCCCACCCAGCCTTGCCCTGCTCAGAGCCCACAGGCCAGGCTGCCCCAGGTGGTGGGCCCCGGGGTCATCCTCATGGCTACAGTCTCTGTCCTGCTCCCCAAGAGCCCGAGGCAGCCCCAGGCCGGGTTCCCTTGAGCAGAGCTCCTGGTTCGGGTCTCTCAAATGAAAGGTGACCACACCCACTCTTGCCTACATTCTCCCATGGCTCCCTACTGCCCTGAACTCAAATCCCATGGGCATTGTGTCCAAGGCCCTCCGGTCATGGCTGCCCTTCTGTCCCCCTGCTGGCTCCCTCCTCTGGCCCCTGCACGGTCAGCCCAGCCTTACTCAGTGTCTGGGTCCTCGTCACGCTCTCTCTTACCCCATGACTCGTACTGGGGTGGTCTTATCGCCGCATTTTCTTCCCTCGGCTGGGACTGGGACTGGAGGGCAGAAAGGATGGTGTGAGTCAGGGAAGAAGATGGGAGGCAGGTTTCAGCCTCAAGGTTCTGAGCACAGCCCCCCACCCAACGTGTGCAGGGCAGGATGACCTGAAGTCTCCCGGGAGCAGCTGCCTCGCGGTTGAGGTCAAGCAACGCAGGGAGGCTATGGGAGGACAGCCCGGCCACAGTGGAGAGACTTGTTGACCCTTGGGCATCCAGCTGGCCTGCCAGAAAGGCCTGTTGGGAGCGAGGACTGCGCCTGAGGGAGGGGCCTGCCTGGGGCTCTCCTTAACAAACCTTGAACCAAGTCCCAAAAGACCCACAGGAGAGCTGTTTGGAAGCTGAATTCTGACAAATTATAGGTGCTTGGGGTACAGTTGGGATTATTCACAGATTTGTCTGGCCAAAGCTTGCAGTACGTGCAAGGTGGTCTGCCTGCAACTGGCTTCTTGATAGAAAGCTGTCTCAGTCTGCTCAGCCATGTAACAAAGTCCCACGGGCCGGGCGTGGTACTGAAACCGCAGGATTTTATTTTCTCACACTTCTGGAGGTTGGAAGTCCGAGATCAGGGTGCTGACAGGGCTGGTTTCTGGTGAGGACCCCCTTCTTGGCTTGTAGACAGTGGGCTTCCTGCTGTGTCCTGGCGTGGCCTCTTCCTGTGCACACACGGAGAGCTCTGTGTCTCTCCCTCTTCTTATTGGGCACCAGTCCTCCCAGGTTAGGGTCCCACCCTTGTGACCTCACTTAACCCTATTACCTCCTTGAAGGCCCTACCCTCATACACACACTGGGGGTTATGGCTTCAACATAGGGATTTAGGGGGACACGATTCAACAAAAGTCAACAGCATTTGGAGGTGACACCAGGATGCGGGGCTTCTACAATGTGTCAGAAACACACATGTTACTAGACCTGCAAAAAAACAGAAAAATATGACCTGTGGTTTAAAAAAAAGGAGTTAATAAAAGTGATCCTGAAGATCCAGAGTCGGATTTAGAAGACAAAGGTCTAAGGCAGCCATGATGAGTATGTTAATGGGACAAAAGGAAGTCGGCTCTAAGATTTCATCAGCAACATGACAGAATTAAATAATTAGCTAATGAACACGGAACAAAGGAACAGGTAGGAAAATCAAATAGGGAAATTCAGCAGAAAAATGGAAACTATAAAAAAAAAAACCAAGTGGAAATTCGAGAACTGAAAAGTGCTGTCAGTGAAATGGAAGCTTTTCTGGACGGACTTGACAGCAGGTTAGAGACGGACAAATCAACATAGATGATCCAGTCCGAGGAACAGAGCAGAGAATGACCGTCAGTGCCTCGGGGACCCGTGGGGCTGGGTCAGCGTGCAAACTGGGCCCGGAAAGAGGAGAGAGTCAGAACTGGGTGGAAAAAATAGTTGAAGAAATAGTGGCCAAAAAGTCCCCAAACGTGATGAAAAACATCTAAGAGACTCCAGATGTTCGGGGAAACCTAAGCAAGATAAAGAAAAAAGCCCCAAACCACCCCTGGGGACATCGCGGTCCATGTACTGCAAACTAAAGGTTTGGAGAAAATTTTCACGGAGCCACAGAGAAAAGACATGTTTGAACCAGGGACGTGTCAGTGACTTCTCCTGATGAACGATGGAGGTGCGTCTCTAAAAGCCACTCAGAGTCTAGGAATGAAGACATTTGTAGGTAAATGAAAGTGTGAGAGTTGGTCTCTCGCATACGTGCAGGACAACAAATAAATGCTAATCTGTTCTTCAGGCCAAGGGAAGTTACAGCTGGCGCCAACTCATTCTGTGGGAAGGAGAGCATGTGCCGGGAGTGGGGGGCCCGAGGCTCAGTACACGGTCTGGTGAGCATCCTCCTAGAAGGGGCTTTCCCATTCCCTCCATTTCCTCATTCATCTCTCTCACTGGGGACTCAGGGATCCTTACGTCCTTCCATGACTTATAATCTGTTATGGCCACTTGTCTTGATTCTCAAATCCAACCGGATTTGTCCAGTGGAAGCTCCTTCAGGATGGCTGCTGGGTCTTTTTGACACATTTCCCTGATTCCTCAGATACATTTTTACTTTCTGCCACAAGAAACGTTCCCAGTTCCTCCTGTGCTTTCCGTGACTCAGCCTTGGAGTAATTTCTCCAAGGAGCCCCAGTTCCCTTTTGCAGAGAAGGGTGTTGAGAAATGAAGATCCGAGTGCCAGGAGCGCTCAGCTTTGCGCTGACTGGGGGGTAACTGCGTTTAACCTTCGCAGCACCAGAGCTTCCCCCTTCCGCACTCCCGTATTTACAGCTCCCTTCCCGACACAGAGAACCCGTTATCCTTGTGTGTTTACTCATCTGATGCTTCCCAGCGCGTGAGGAAAGTCGTTTCAGGACCGCTCGCCTAAACCACGAGGAAAACAAGCCCGCCAACCAGAACTCGGGATGTTCACCGTTCCTGTCGTCTTTAGCCTGAGAATATGTAGAAAAAGACTCTGTCCAAAGTTGCTCAGGGTTGATTTCTCCCCTTTCAGTTCATTCGTTTATTCCATTTCAAGGACTTGTTTATTTTGGGTGTGATGTATTACCATGATCCCAAAGTCAAAACTACACACAACAGGGGTCCTCCAAGGAGCCTGACTTCCTCCCACTCTTCCCCCTACCTCTTCCCCATCGCAGCTCACCCCCTGCAGGTAACCAAGCTCATTCGACTCTGGTTCCTCCTTCCTGTGTTTCTTCCTGCAGAAATAAGCAGACACAGGTGTGTTTTCTCGTCTCCCTTGCTGCCTTACCCGGAAGCTCGCATACTTCACATGCCCTCTGGCACTTTGCTTTTTTTCTCTTTACAATATAGCCTGTGTATCATCCACATCACTTCTTGGAGGTCCTCCTTGTTATTTTTTACAGCTGCACAGGACTCTATTGTGGATACAACATCTTTTACTCCAACAATCTTCTGTGGATGGGCGTTTAAGTGGTTTCCAACAGTTTCCAATCACGAACAATGCTTCTGTGAATAACCACGCATGTGCAGTGTTTTTTTTTTTTTTGCGTTGTTGCAGGTATTTCTTTAGGATAAATTCCTAGAAGTGGGATTTCTAGATCAAAAGATAAATGGACGTGTCATTTTGTTAGAAATTGTCACATTCCCCTCCGTAAGGATGGTACCAATTTGCAGTCTGACCAGCAATGCGTGGGCACGCTCGTTTCCCCACAGCCTGGCTCAAGAGTGTGTGCTCTGGTCAAGCTCTTCAGTTTTTGGCGATACGACAGGTGATGAGTGGCGTCCCAGTATTGTTTTAATTTGCATTTATCTAATTGTGAACGGAAATGAACATCATATTAGTTCACCAGGGCTGCCATTACAAAGCACACAGACTTAACAGAAATGTCTTCTCTCACGTCCTGGAGGCTGGAAGTCTGAGATCAAGATGTGGACGGGGCTGGTTTCCCTTGAGGCCTCTCTCCTGGGCATGTAGATGGCTGTCGTCCCCCTGTGTCCTCACATCTTTCCTCCATGTGTGTCTGTGTCCCAATCTCCTCTTCTCATACCTGCATTAGGACCCACCCTACTGACCTCGTTTTAACTTAATCACCTCTTTAAAGACCCCGTCTCCAAATACAGTCACATTTGGAGCTCCTGGGGGGTCAGGACTTTAGCATATAAATTTTGGGAGACACAATCCAGCCACAACAAACATCTTTTCATATGTTTAAGGGTCATTTTACATGACTTTTTGTGAATTGTCTGGTCACGTCGTTAGTCCATCTTTCTGATGGGTTTTGGTCCTTTTTTCTTCAGTTTTTCCATAAAGCATGGATATTAGCCTTTGTATGTGATATATGCTGGGAATACTTTCTCCAAACTCATCTTTTAACTTTGTTTATTTTTTTTTTTTGCCATAAAAATGTTTAAAAATATTGTCAAATTATTTATCCATCCTTTCTTTTATTGTGTGTGGATTTTGATCCATAGTTAGGGTGGCCTATCACTTTGTAACGGCTTGATTTGGTGGGGCTGGCCGACATTTCCCAGAATTCCCTCCCCTGT